GGGGGTGTTACAACGAAACCATTAGAAAAAAATGACATTGACAATAAGATGTTCCGGAAGAGTAAGCGTCTTTTGATTCAACAACGACAACCATCATGTAAATTTCGGTAAAATCAAAGTAATGTCATGTCCTCATAGCTAGACCTGGGGTAATGACAACAAAACAACTAGGCAAACTAACTGACTTAGTAAAAGAATAAACCTAGAGTAATCTAGGTTCCTACGAAAGGAGCTACTTGACAAAAATTGTGTCTTTAAATCAAGCTGCAATACCTTACTTGAGCTGCATATCAGCGAGCCAACTTGTAAATTAAACTGGATTCATAAAATTAAACAAGACTGATATGGAATGAGTTTAACAATATTTGGATTTCTCAATATGTATAAACCGTAAAACAGCAAATTTTAAAAAAAAGTTTAATAAATGTTCTAGAATTGAGTGAGGCATCTGAAACTAAACCTCATACATTGAAGTATTCCGTCGACTCTCCTCTATTTCAAATGTATTTAATGTAGTCTACCTTATATTCACAGAAAGCAAACATTTTACAGAAAATATAGTAGTGAAACTTGAGCATCACTTTTACAGGAAAACAAAACATAAAAAAAACCTTCAGTCTTCTTTCTTTTTCGCTCGTGAAACTACAGCGGACATCTTTATTTACAGAAAATAAAACGTGAAACTTGAGCGTACCCCTTTTTACAAAGAGAAACGTGAAAAATAACTCTTCCTCACTCTGAAAGAAAATTTGTGAAACTTGAACCTACCTCAATTTTACAGCAAACAGAAACGTGGATATTGAGCCTACCTCCTTTTACAAAAATAAACTTAAAACCTGATCCTACCTCACTACATGAGCCTAACTCATTTCAATAAGTAATAAACCGTGAAACCTAAGCCTACATGTACCTCAGTTTTAAATTTGTGAAACTTGAATCTGACTCATTTTTCAGAAAACAGAAACGTGGATCTTGAGCCTACTACCTTTTACGAAAATATAAGATACAAACATGCAAACTGACTCTAAGTTAACTCATTGGAAGACTAATAAAACGTGACACTTGACCCTACCTCACTTTTACATGTCACCAGCTGTTCGTCTTCACCAGTACACATCCGGCCTCCGAACTTTGGTCTGAATTTATATTGGAAAATGGAAAAATTTAAAAATTAAATAACGACTGACAGCAGAATTTCATGTTTACGAAGTCAAAATATTGCATTCATAAAGCATGCATTGGTTTCGAACAAGACATATTTTAATGCAATTTTCATGAGCAACATTGCACTTCCGTAGAATTCCAGTTTCAGACCAGCAATACGGGTCGAACAATTTTAATGAAAGCACCGTACATAAGGCAAGAAAATGACTATTTCGAATTAAGATTTACAATGCTTTTGAGGCGCACTATAAACAAGATTTTTTTTTTCAAATTTCAAATTCATCAAAAAACATTGTTTGCTAAATAACTCTTTTATGACGCCTGCTTGAGCATATTACCGCATTATGTTATTAAACAAAACACGCACTATTTCTGTTGCGTGTTATATATTTAGAAAACATACATAACAGCTCGAATAAAAATTTCCATTACACGAACAAATTAGAATCGCAGACACTGTTTGTGACGATAAGGGCACGTCATCGTTTGATGTTACAAGAAGGAATTTTATGATTAAAGTGCATAATTTGAACATTAATCTTTCATCATATTCATTCAATTTAAGAATTTTCAACACCAAACTGTTATCTTTAATTTTACTGAATGGCATTTCAATACGTCGGAACTGTGTTAAGTGATGTGTCAATAAAATAAACCCTTTTTCTCTCATGCTAAGGCTTATTTGCTTGCTTTTTTTTTTTAATTTGAACATTCCCAAGCTCTAGGTAACATTACCATGATACACCCCAGTCACGTAAAACCTCTTTGGTATATAAGTATTTAGGAATAATTGTTAACAAAAGGAGTATTCATGTTTTTTACGATATCATCGGTTATACAACTTATTCTTTATATTTATTTGTAATATATACGCACAAATTCATTAAATATCAATTATACATATCATTAATTGTACATTCAAAGATAAGTCTGTTTAACTTTGTATAGCTTCCTGCATTGAATGACTGAACTTGTTAGTCGGCGTTTCTATTGCAAAGTGTTTAAGAAAATTTTGACTAAAGGTGTTCATTTTTTTTATTTTTTTTATTTTTTTTATGGACATTTTGCATTTGACATCCAAACGTATACTTCGTTAATGCTTGAGAATTTAACAGTACTGGGCCCTCTTGTATAAAACATCTCAAAGTTAAGGAAAATCTCAAGCAATGCGTTGTCTATGGGAAATCTTAGACTTGAGGAAATGTCAAGAGTTGAGATGTTTTATACAAGTGGGCCCTGTTTATGTAAATGTTTCATAAGACTTACGTAGGTTTGTCACAGTTGCGGTTCCTTAATTTGAGCCCCACACCGCAGTCGTTGGAGCACGACCCCCAGTTTGCCCACTCGCCCCATGCCCCGTTAACTGGATCCTTCCGTCCATGATACGTACAGGTTCCTTTCTTACAAGACTGAAATATACCAGGGGTTCATATCTCAGTACACAATGCTTTTAAAATGGCTATTTACAGTTGCATGCAGAATGTTTTATAGTTTATGAAAATAACTAAATAAAATTTTAACAGTGTTTGCATTAGATAAATTATATAATGTGCAAATAGCTTAGCGCATATACGTCTATTACACGTTATTTGAAAGTGGTGGATCTAGGAGAGACTTTCTAGGCTTTAGATGCTCTTTCCAAAAAAAACCGCTTTTTTCTCCATTTTTGGACCCTTTGCCCCTGTCTTTGCCCCTTCTCCAATAAATTTAAAATTATCCCACATCCCTGCCCTGACCCAGCGATTGTTCCCTGGGTCGCCTAGTGTATGGTCCTATTCTGTCAACAAGGTTTCATGAAGGAACAAAACAACGACACTTTACTTCTTTCATGAATAAGATACATATCACTTCCTCATGCCATTCAGTAGTACATTTATTTTCACGTTGTAACGCCTTACCCTGTCTGCGCCACATGACGTACCCTCCAGGGCCCTTCCCCTCTTGGTCTTACAGAGTCGGTGACCGTTCTGGTCGCTGCACCAAAGCTGGGCACACAGATCACCATAAAACTGTTGATGATTAAACAATAGGCAGTTAGGCTACACACTATGAATGCAAAAAATCACCTAAAGGAGCAACAAATTTATATGTAGCTATTTGACCAGCAAATCATCTCGATTCCCTCCCCTTAATACCAATCGTGCCATAAGTAAGAGCAGGCTACTACTTTGACTTATCAATATTCTAGGACACTCGATCTATTCGCCGGTCAGATATTTAAACATACAATTATATATGAGAAAATTCTACGATCGCATGTTTAGTTGATTAAAATTTATAATTTCGACATGGATGTTCTGCTAAAAAACACATTCTCTAGAACCTTTTTATTGCCATATCAGCTTGTGGTGACGACATGATTGATTTTAAAAGCATATAATTAAACTATAGACTAGAAGTTTCTTTTCATTTCATACATTTAAACCTGGACCACCCTAACGATCACACAGAAGTGGATGGGAAATACTTTTGGTTTATCGTTACTTTGTGTTCAAAGGAAACATCCAGTAAGAATCAGTACATGAATGACGCCTAACTTCCAATCTCTATTCATATGGCCTCGTTTTAAGAAATTAATAACTTCAATAGAATGAAAACATCAAAACCTATATTTAAACACATATGCATTAAATATTTCATTGTCGATACATGTCTAGATAATATTATTATTGAGCAAATAAAACTGCTTTTTAGAAGTCGTTTTTTTAGACCACAAGGTGTAACATAGGAGGCAAAGACGTGTGATTTGTAGGGGAGACAACTAAGATTGATAGAATAGTGTGACGTGTAGGGGAGACAACTCAGGTTGACAGAATAGTATGACGTGTAGGGGAGAAAACTAAGGATGACAGAATAGTATGACGTGTATGGGAGACAGCTAAGGTTGACAGAACAGCGTGACATGTAGGAGAGACAACTAAGGTTGATAGAATAGTGTGACGTGTACGAGAGACAACTAAGGTTGATAGAATAGTATGACGTGTATGGGAGACAACCAAGGTTGACAGAACAGTATGATGTGTAGGGGAGACAACTAAGGTTGATAGAATAGTGTGACGGGTAAGGGAGACAACTCAGTTTGACAGAATAGTATGACGTGTATGGGAGACAACTAAGGTTGCTAGAATAGTGTGACGTGTAGGGAGACAACTCAGGTTGACAGAACAGTATGACGTGTAGGGGAGACAACTTAGGTTGATAGAACAGTGTGACATGTAGGAGAGACAACTAAGGTTGATAGAATAGTGTGACGTGTAGGAGAGACAACTAAGGTTGACAGAATAGTATGACGTGTAGTGGAGACAACTCAGGTTGATAGAATGGTATGACGTGTAGGGGAGACAACTCAGGTTGACAGAATAGTATGACGTGTAGTGGAGACAACTCAGGTTGACAGGATAACATGACGTGTAGGTGGGACAACTAAGGTTGACAGGATAGTATGAAGTGTAGGGGAGACAACTAAGGTTTACAGAATAGTGTGACGTGTTGGGGAGACAACTGAGGTTGACAGAATGGTATGACGTGTAGGGGAGACAACTAAGGTTGACATAATAGTTTGACGTGTAGGGGAGACAACTCATGTTGACAGAATGGTATGACGTGTAGGAGAGGCAACTTAGGTTGACAGGAAAACATAACAGTTGGGAGGAGACAAACGGACGTGACAGAATATGAATGTATATACCGTTCTGCAAGCAGTGTGTCTACCGCCGAATTCGTACTGGCATTGCTGGTCAAACGACCAAAGGTCACCGATAGGATCTGTCACGTGCTTTGCATTCTCCCGGGTCAGTGGGTTGTTGTTTAAACAGGTCAAGGATCTGAAACAAAACAATGTCCAACCATCGCATGTTTTATAAAAGTACTCTCTTTAAATTGTATTTGGAACCTCAATCCTAAATCAGAGCATAGGATAATTTTGACAGCTTTATGCAAGAATCGCTATAGCCTGTGCATACTTCAAAAATACTCAAACTGGAACGAGCAGGTTTGGAATGGAAGTTATACAGGGATTCGCAAATGCTCTTTCTCACTCTGCATTTTCTTCGTGTTTAACAGCTCTTCAACGAAAATTCAATTAGGCATTCTGAAGGCCGTCAAAACGTGTTTCCACTGGGGTAACCAGCGTGTACGACATACCGGACGACCCACGTTGACTCTGTCAAGTTATGCTGACGTTTTGTTTCAGCTAGGTCCGTTTTATTGCTCCAAACATTCAAACATATTAAAGAAAACTGATCTGAAATTAAGTGCTGACAAACTGACAATTCAGACATGTGAAGTGTTTAAAATGTTTACTGGCATGTTTGGCCGATTGGTATTGATCACACAGGCGCTTGGTATAGGAAATGCTTAGGAGGAGGTCGGAGACGTCAGGGCAGAAGATCTGGAATCGAATTAGGCATGGAGTATGTCCCTCTCCCAAACGTCTGATCCAATTAGCTGTCGAGACCAGGCAGGTGCGCTTCGCAAGCGGGGTTTACAGATTATGTACGTACATCATATTGATTGTTCACTCCGTAACACAGTTTGTCACTATAACAGGATTCCGACAAGGGGACGGGATATTTCTATTCCAGATAAATGACACAAATGTTTGGCCTGCGTTTTTCGTTTATTTTTGGCTTGTGTTGGCATTCAACCTGCCTGGCTGGTGCGTGGATACTAATTGTAGTTAAAGAGTCGCACCCAGATACACAGGTGAATGGTTAAATATAGATCCTCGCTAATTTCCGGTATTTTAGCATAACGAACATACATTGCTCGTTGTAATGCAATAAGGAAGGATGTGTGGTATACCGGAAGTACAGTAAAATCTCGTTATACTGCCAAATGTCAAGAAAAACTTTTGCGTCATTAAGGGTTTGGCGATAAATTGAGGGGAAAGATACGAAAGAAATCTTCAGAAAAATGAGAAAATAATCCATGAAACACTTTGGCGGTAACTGATGTAGCAAATGGAACGAGAGGCATAATATCGAGGTTTTTACTGTATGCTCTCATGAATTCAACTTATTGTTTTATTATATGCTTCAAAATCCCACAAGTGCCACTTGTTTCTTTTTGTTGTTTATGATGGATCTACTTTAATATCAAATTGTTCTCGGCTGTCTTCGATGATTAAAATCAAAATAAACATAACACATGTTCCTTTAACCATCAATGATTTCGTACATCGTACATTACCTCCGAAAAGGATTTGAGCACTGAACCTCCGTTCATCTACGGTTACTCTAACCAGCTCAGCAACCTAATCAGAGATAGTTCTCTGGAATTCTCTAATCCTTTGTCTGCACTGGGACATGGATCCTTAATTAAATGAGCCGCTAAGCAGTATATAAAGATAGTAGTGGTTCAGCTAAATATAGCTACACATAATTGGCTCAAACTAATTGTGAATCCCTTTCTCATTATCCAAACACTTATGGTTGGAACTTTCATCGAAATATATTGAAACTGCTGGATAATAATCATAACGCTTTCATATCTCATATCACTAAATATTGCCGAAAGTTAGCGCAGCGGGAAGCAATCTTTACTAATGGTAAAAGGGTTGTTGTCCTCGCGACCTACATTGGTCTCGGGTTTATGTCCCAATAAACCCTGGTTCAATTGGTTTATGATTGGAAACAGGACTTTCACACGACCAGTAACTCAGGGAGTATATGGTTCACTAGGTTGTTTGTATACGTAGACACTTTATAATGACATATATGATATTTCAAACCTTAACAGTACTTATTTGATATTAGTGGCAAATTATCAGGAAAGGTATCAACGTAAGGGTACATGGGGAAGGCGGAGCTTTTGTTCTGTCTTGTTTATATTTGTTTGCATTGTTTATCAGTTAACGATATACATGTATGATAAATAGGTTTCAAAAATTAAATTTGAAAAGACAAAAACAGAAGAGTTTTAATGTATTTTCTTCTCTGAGTGACAGAATAGATCTAAGGAATAAGGGTTTATTTCCAGTAATATTTCATTCTCAAAATATATTTCCCATCTTTGACTTCCCCTTATTTATGTGGTTCGTCTTTCCTATCTGTCTTTATATTAAGCAGGTGGAGATTTTCAAGATTTATTTGAAACATTACGGTATCTACCCGATTCAACTGCTAAATTGTAAATGAATATAGCTGATTCGATGATTTGAAGTCATTAATCCGTCAAATAATAAATGTAACGAGATGTTGTCTGAAACATGTGAATCAACGATTTTTAGCGATTCAAATTATAGATAACGTTGCTTACATAGAAAAACAGTTTTACACCTTTACAAAACTACGTGCAAAAACAGCCTTAACAAAATCGACATATTTTTTATCGGGGTTTAACATCCTTACTTTGTCACGTGAAGACGAGAGACTAGATAGATAGACACGACAGGAAAGAGAGAGTAGATTAAAAAGAAAATGTAGACAGGAAAGATAGGGAAAAAAAACAATATTGATCTCCTCATTGTCCTCTTAGTAAAAGATACAGAAGAAAATCTCCAATTCTGCAGAGTCTCTACATAAGACGCCTTTTACTATATACGGGAAGTGGGACACAGCATGCCCCTTCTTGTTCTTGTCTTCTCATGCCTTCTTGAGTGTAGGCACGGAAGAAATCACTCCTGATTCTATCAAGGGAATAGAAATTCATATAATATTGACGGTTTTCCACAATATGCTCAAAGGTCAACCAGGTTCATAAGGTCTTCTTCCGACTTAGAACATGTGTGGTCAGTAATTGCTGAATATCACATGACCATTGCTACACGTGGTCAATTATTTCCTTATAAGAACAAGTCATACTGTTATTTTTGCAAATAATAAATCACTAGTCTGAAAACATAGACACGAGATTCATATAGACGATTCTACACGTTAGCTATCGTTAATTTGTACTCAAATGAGCATGGAATACAAATAGATATCTGAACATATGGGCAATCATTAATCATTTAAACTTACGGAATCATTTGATTCATACGGTCGTTGCTGCACGTGGACCACCAATGATGCTGAAGGTTGGCCTGTACCATGGGCGCCATAATGGCTGTGGCATACTCTGCTCCGTGACAAGTGTTCCCGTGACCATCGTGATACAAACCTATACTGTAATAAAATGAAGGTGATGATAGTAACATTATATGATAAGTTAGTATCGTGCTACCTATAGTTGCTATACATACGTAGTTATCTCCCTTTTTGTTACTCTTCTTTTGTTTTGTTTCAGATTACATTATGGTGACAACGTTTTACACATACTCGTCCTGTTTTGTCATTCCTAGAGCCACGTCTCGAAGTGACCCCAACGTCTAACATGACGTTTAACCCTATAAAACCAAACAATTCATAGAGCAGCATTGTAGCTGAAAAACCTAACGATTGCATCATTGTTATCAGCAAAAAGACTACTTTACAGTTTTTAGTGGTGTGTTGGTAATATCTAGCTTATAACTTTAGTGTAGTTCTAATTTCAGAAGCAGGCAAACAATGTCAAGGTCGAATTACATACACGTGTGCCACTTCATGAGCAATGATGAAGGCGGAAGTGAACCCCTCGTCTTTGACAACTGCACAGCTCCGGGATGGATTACACATACCCGTGATCGGCGCATACCCTTTAAAAGAAAAATGAGTTTAGATATGAAATATGATTCAATTTTAGATAAATGTTATTGACAGTTTCGTCACAGAGATCCCAATGAATTCTCATTAATTCCTCCATCGTTTATAATTTGATCAAAATAATAATAACATTTATGCAAATATGGTAAGTCAGCTTTATATTAAGTATTTTCATATAATAAAACGCAAGGATTCTGGGAGAAAAGATTGCAGGTTTACAAGATGTATCGATAAATCCTTTTATATGACACCAACACCCCATACCTGCCGGTCCCATGACCGTCCGCGTGAGGAGGACAGCTACGTCATAACTGATACCACCGCCATAGTAACGGTTGTTGTAAGACTGGATCGTTGTCCATCTACAGAAGTTGTCCACGGTCCGTCTCGCGTCCGACGCCCTCACCACCTTCTTTTCCTGTGAAATGGGTACATATTAACAAGGCAGGTGTAAATGCAATACCATAAAGATATTTCGAGGTACCTTTTACCATTTAATAGTTTCCATTAATATTTTGTAGTCTTTTACCAATTGTACCATTGATTATTATTTAATGGACGGGATTTTTTTCGGTATGCGTATTAGATGTCGAACAATTGATCACTGAGTAAGCCCAACACGTAAGGTTTCGAGGGTCTTTTTCAGAAGATATCAGGATTGTTTACGTGACCAAGAAAAGATCTCCCGAAATATATCATTTAACTAAGAGAAACTACGGGAAAGTACATTTTACTCAGGTAGATCTTGGTCAAGTTGATGTGGCCAAAGCGGAAATCTCACAAGCTTTAATGGTATACCAAGGGTGATCTCGGGGAATTTTATGTTATCAGGGGAGATCAAGGGATAGTTAATGTTACGAAGACAGATTATATCGATAAGTAGCGAGACATTCACGTGCATGATAGCGTCAAAACACCGAGCTTCTGTTGTGTCAGCTAAAAATCAAGGCACGTTATCAACAAGTTCCTGCTACAGCAAAAAAGTACGCGACCTAACCAAAGTCAATTAATCTCAATTTTTATGAATTGAAGATATGAAATGATAAATTAATTCATTAGCATCCTGTATTGTGATGTGCAAGGGTTGTTTTCATAACATGAAATGCCACTTTGTAAAATGGCCGATATTGTATAGTTCAAGGATAAAAACTGCTACTGACTTCACTCAGACGTGAAGAGGTAACCACGTTCTCGTTTCTTCACAAAAGAAAACCCAAATAAAACCGTGAATGAAACAGACATTTCCTGTATAATCTAAACTTCCAAATAATATTTTCATCAATGATTATCAATAAACCTCTTTATTTCATTATTCAATAATAGTTGCATTTCTAAATGCAGTACACCACCGACTGTACCTGTAAACAATTTTCACTAGTTATTGAGAAACAAGTCTGCTTCAATACCTCCTAATGCAACCGGAAGTGAAGGGGACAGAATTAAGAAGCACCTCAAGAAGCGACTGGCGCTTACAACGGTGTCACAACCAATGAACCAATGGCACATATATTGCCAATTTCTAACCTCGATCAATTTTACTTTGTTTCCATTCATTTATCATGACACATTGATTAGCAAAAGAATGTATACAATGTTGCAAACGTTACTTTCAGACGTCCAAAGTATTCTGTAAACTATTAATCCCGAACATTTTGATTCAATAACATCAAAAACACCAGAAAACAGTTGCTTGTTCACCATTCAATTAACACGACGCTTATTGCTTCATCTGTCAACAATGTAAGAAAACAATCGATCAATAACTAACTCACTACTACTTTTACTTTTGAGTTCGGTAAAAGCATCGTAAGATCAAGTTTCTTTTGTTAAATAAAACAATCTGACAAAGAGTATATTTGAAATGAATTTAAATGAATGATTATCTTTTCAATACAATGTCGTGTTTACATGTTTTGTTTACATTCTTTACGCGATGAAAGCCTCCGCGCGTACTAAAGTTCAAATCGAGGTCAAACTAAAGAATTTCCTGAGAATAGAAGCACGTATTTATCGGGTTACTCACGCACATCCCTATGGTTATTTAGGTCAGCTGTTACCCAGTACTTTTAGAGCATGTTTCGGGACAAATTACAATACTTACCACGTTCTTGTCCATCTTAATTATCTTCGTGGTGATGATTTCGATGTCTGAGGTGAGTGAATCGTGTTGGTACACTTTGTTTACCTGTAGAATGCAGTCGTAGGGTTTTATCAGTTTTGATACATCGGGTGGTATATCAACGATTAAATTTTTATGTAAATACTCTTTTGATGATTCTGGAAGTATTCAAAAACTACATCCGGAACAAAAATGTGATCAAATCATTCAATATACCATACTGAAAACCTTAATAAGAAGTAAAATATATAAATACAGTAAAATCTCGTTTTACTGCCAACAGTTGTCCAGAGAAATGTTAGGATTATAAAGGCGAAAAAGTGAGGGAAACGAATAAAATATTTTTTTTGAAAAAAGAAACCACGAGACCTTGACATATATTGGCGGCTAGCGAATTCGAAGTTGCAAACGAAACGAGGGATATTATATTGAGTTTTTTGTATAGTATTGGCATATATAACTAAAAACAACTTACGATGTTCATGATGGTAAGGACGTATGTCTTTACACCCTCATTGCTTACAAGTTTGACAGTCCCGCTGTCAGCAACAACCAGCACTTCCATGTACTTCCGGCCACCGGGGGCAGCTCTACGCCTGCGCGATGCCTTCTCATACTTCCGTTTTCCATCTTGCACACATAAAAAAGACCATATCAATACGATCTATTTATATATAAAATCTGATTTTCGTATTGCATTTGTTAGCATATATCAAACTAGGCTAAAAAATAAATGACTTGTAGATTTTCTTCAACACCCTTCCCTATTGCATGGTTTGTAGCCAAAGTAAAGTTTTAAAACATAATGAAGAATTAGATAAATTTATACGTGTGACAATATTAATTAACAATTACTGTAATTAAAAGGAATCATTCGTTAAATACAACTCATTTATATGATTCCCAATACTAGTTTGACTATGTCGCAACAAAAATTTATTTATAATCACTTCTGGGTCCAAATTATAAGGATAGGTACAATAAAGATGCAAGTGAAACTTTTTACAAAATATTTTGACAAAGATAATATAAGCTCACAGTTTCAGCTAAAAATGGTGATTGATTAAAATGGTCAAAATAAATAGGAATGGACAAAAAAAATAGGGTTGATAGAGAAAGTGGTTACATACTTTTATTTTTATTTTTTACCAAGGTTAATTCTTGTAGTAGCGATCCACTTATGTACTTTAAAGGGTTAAAGGTCATAATATCACCCAAGCACCTAGCAAATGTAGGTGTTGCCGAAACAAAGAATTTTCGTAGGTTCATTAATTCGCGCGTTAACACAAAAAAAACTTACTCGGGATTTTTTATCCTTAGTTTTATTTCTTGCATAACAATACTGAAGCACAGAATTAACAAATATAATCAGTGAATGGTTTTTTTCCTCGGGGAAAATACTAAGGACACATAAGCTTTATATTTCAAGATTATCTAATATTTAGTTGAAACCATATTTTATTCGTGTCAATTGATATGTACAATCGCAAAAGACATTTTATCCTGATGATTGGGAAACAAGTACTTTTACATAGTCCTTCTCATCGTTCATAACAAGCTTTGCTGATAATTCATGCATAACTTTGCAGTGATAGCGAAAATATGTACATAAGAAACTGTTTAGAAAGAAAGATAGAACATGATATTAGGGATAAAGAAAGTAATTGATGGAGTTTTAACCGGTTTAATTGAGATCTGTAAGATTTAAGGAGACACAATGTCATTGTACTTACGCGGAAATATTCATTTTACTGCTTACCGTTTTCTCTTTTGCAAACAACCAATTTGTGGAACGATCCGTCAGCGAGCTTTTCTACCATTATTTCTTCTTCGTCTGTCATGATGTAGCCGTTCTAAACAAAGACGTTGTCAAATTAAGGACGACAACCAAAGGCTAAATATAGATAATGTGATCAATGAAAATTACAGAATTATTTGTCCATAGTGGTTTGGTTTGGTTTGGTTTAGTATTGTTTAACGTCCTATCAACAGCTATGGTCATTTAAGGACGGCCTCCTCCGTATGTAAAATGCATGCGTGTAGTGTATGCGTGTGTGTTTTGGGAGGCTGCGATATGTTCGTGTTTGTCTCCTTATGATAGCGCGGAACTGATGCCGAATTTATAGTGCTACCTCACTGAAACATACTGCCGAATACACCCAGCAGGACACTCCAACCGGTCACAGGGGCGAACGCTCAACTAAAGGCCAAAAGTGAGGCATTGTCAAGCGAGACATTAGGAAGAAAAAGTTGTTTGGAAAGAAGAGAAAAGATAAAATCCCAAATTTAGTCGCTTCTTACGATCATGCAATGGGGGCAGCAGGTATGGTTCTAACGCCCTACCTCCAGGGACGGTTTTCCAGAGTAAAATGTTTATCAACTGATTATTCGTTTGATGTGACGAAATGAAAGCCGTAATTAATCACAGAAACAATTTGATGTATTATTTATTGATGGTTAAAAAATGAATCTCTTTTTTATATCTTTTTCGCAAGACTAAATACATTGAGCTATACGAAAACAAAGTAGTGAATTTTCAAAAATATTGGAATCCAAAACTTAAGATAATATGTATAGTGTTTTAAAATGATCATCAAAAGATAACAAATAACAAATAACAAAATATTTGTAATTTTGATTATCTTTTCTCAAACAAACCACAAATGGAAATATCCGTTAACGCTCGTAAAGCTTGTAAGGTTTTGAACGACCTTGGTAATGCTTGATCTGGCCAACACATTGTCTATATATATATTGGTAATATTAGTAGGAGCACTTAAACATTAATTGATTTACCATGTTTTGTACAGATATAGATATAGATATAGTACCACTTACTAGACCGTCACAAAGGGAGACCGCCACACTGCTGTCCAGATGTCCGCGAACACTGCCCTGGTATAGACAGTTTTCAGACAATTCCTCGGAGTAAGTTTCATTACCTTCTGTCCACATAAGAGTTCCAGAACCAGGGTATATAACTCGTCTTGATAATTCTAAGATTGTCAGGTGTTGTGTCCTTGGTAGCGTAATAAACAAATTATCTGAGAAGATTGCCGGATGTTGTAGAGAGGATAAAAACTCTCCTTTAGAATCACTCAAATATGGTTCCGCGTGCTCTGTCTTTTCGTCCGTACACAGCGAACCACTCATTGTACCTGTAAAGATTAAATACTACATTTGTATCACTGTTGATTAAAGGTTAAGTCATATGATTGTCATATGATTGTTCGTTTAATGGCTAAACTTATGTATTTACATTTGCTCTGCATCCTTCCATTGTAATGCATTGTGAAGGCAACTGTTGTTATGAGACTATAACAACATTTGCTATTGTAACGTCATCAATCTATATCGTGACGTCATCAATTGCATTGTTGTCAACACTTGATTTGCTGTTCAAAAACTGTTCGAAATAACTAAATAAAATTACACTAACAAAATGTAAACATAAATAATGAATATTTTAGCAAATATTGTTTTGGTCCTGCAGCTGACAAACTTACATAAGACCCTACCGGGCTTTATTAAGTTTGTCATCAATAGCAATGTATGTTATAGGACCATAACAACATTTGTTAAAACATTGGATTCCAAAACATATGAAGAGAGAGAGAAAAGATTCCAAGAAGGACAACTCCGATAAACATAGGACATAGTTTGTGCTCACAAGGCATGATACAGAGATAGATTCAACCATCTGTTCCTACAAAATCGATACTGAACTACCTCCAAAGGGTCAGGTTTCATACGTGGTTCAGGAGGTCAGGTTGGGTATCAATCAATATCCTAATAAACAGATACTTGACCCAGAACCAATGTATATACCAGAGCACTATAAGAATAATCAAATAGTGTTTCCATGTTTTTCATTTGTAAGATATTCATAACTTTTTTGTCAAAAATAGTTTGTTTTTTGTTGTTTTTTATTAAAGATAACGAAAAATCCTTTTATGTATGAATATTTCTAGTTTTTTGTGAATTTTTGACCAATCTGGAGAGATTTTGTACTAATTTGAAATAATATTTAATCATGTTTGTTAATCTCTCGTATTATACATGCATTGCCGTTCATAACTAAATCACAAGATAAAATCCAGTACGTTTTGTACAGTCATTGTCTGTTATCATACATGTGTATTGAGTACAGTAATTGAGATTTAGTTAATTTCCTTAACAACACTGTACTATATATTCCAATAATAGGTTTCCATGCAAGTATTCTTATACCTTCATAATACGTGATGTCAATCAATTTTGCCATAAACTGAAGAAAATATATCTAATAAAAAAAAGAGATTATGAGTAATAATTTTATCAAAAAAGAAATGTTGTCTGTTTTGAACGTATTTAAGTGAACTAAAATTGTCATTTCATATTCGGAATATACTGAAACAATTTCCTTACACAATAGTGTTTGTAAAGTATGTTTTTTCTAGCTTTGCATGTTTGCCAAGGTTCTATACTCAATGGAGTGATATTAGACTAATATATTATAAAATAACATATACCAAAGTGTCAACAAAATTGTAATTCGAACATGTATTAACTGAAATTAAGGCAGAATGTAAACAAAGGAAATATTGACAAGGAAACACTTGAAAAAAGAAGCATGAGGATAAGACCACGTGTTCCGGAAGGGTAAGCGAATTCTGGATACTTTATTTCAGGAGACAGTATTGTCGTGTAATTTTCGTTCGCACAGCATGTTATTCATTCTTTATACTTTACTGGTGTTAAAAAGACCATCAGAGTTCTTGGCGATTTTAATTATAGCAATAAATTGTTACTTTCTTACCTAATTATTTGAAAAGAGAAAACAAAACATGAGCAAAATTCTACAAACTGAAAAATGCCTTCTAATTACATATTCATTTAAACAAACTCTGGAATATGTTTAATACCTGTTTTAAATACGGAACTTCATTTCTAATCGATCCGCTACCATTTCGAACTTTTACTTTTTCAGAAAAGAGGAAATGGAAACATAATTAGAACTATTGATATATGAAAATCAGCCTTTTCAATGAAAATGGTGTCAGCCTTTACGAGTAAATGAAAGAGAAGAGGTCATTTGCGTTACTAAAACAACACGTGAAAGCATCGTTTCTGCTTTTTTACTTTGAAACATATTCATTTATGCTAGATAGTATTAACTAATTACTTAAAATGTTTCCATTTTCGCTGGAGTGTGTCGTGTGGTATCTATTGTATTTTTATTCGTTTCAATGATCCGAGTTTCCAACACTGATATCGATTTATAAAAGTTTAATTCAACAATGCCTCACAGCATGCAACAGACCAATACAATGATGGCACGCGCTGCATACATGTACTACACCGACGCTGAGTATACCAGATTCAGCCATAAATCTGAATATAAACATATCTATAAAAGTTCTTAATTGTCGTTGTAAGGAAACAGAGAACATAAACACTCCAAGGGAAAACTTCAGGTAATGATTAAATTTGGATGGAAATTCTGTAGTTTCGATATAAGAACAAATTGCTTTTCACATGATGGTCTCTATTTTTTCAAGAATTAAAAAAAAAAACAATTACTCTCGGTTTATGTTCTTGTTTATCTTATTTACTAAAGATTCCGATTTGTCATGGTGTGTTGACGGTTTACATTTCATATTCACAATTTTACTTGTAACATTGTGAGTCACGTTTATACGAGTTGAATTTTCGAAGGTATTTGCGAAGAAAATCAGTTGTAAACTCAAACATTTCAGGAACATATATTCAGACGGATCTAATGAAAAAAGTGTGGAAGATGTATTGCAAAAAAAAAGAAAAAAATCCCGGTGCGTCATTTTCTTTGAAAAGAATACAAGCAACCATGATGATTAATAAACGTCATCGTACAATAGGTCAAAAGAATGGGGGGAAATCCACGTCGAAAGTGTTCCAAACACTCTCCCAGGAATAAACTACTGATACGCATTCGAGAGACTTCGCAGCATACATGCACCAAAGAGTAACATACATACACTGAACAGCAGACGACATGGATCCGAAACTAACACACTTAGATACGGCTAGGAGTCTAACTAACGTATAGCATACACCAGTGACGTAATTTTAAATATTAGATTATACCTAACGTACAACATAACAATAAATTGTTTATGATCTATTAAAGCAAGGATTACATTGGTATGCAGTGATTAACTATACCATGTCTGCATTGTAACGACAGTTTTCATTGGTCAATACTGTAAAAGTGGAAATATTCGCGTTGGGACTCGTTAAACTGATCGCGATGGGGATCTTTTCGCGTTGGCAAGTTTCTGAAATCTATATACATGTTTGTATCTATGCATAATAAAAAAAATCGAGTGTAAATAATTTTACGCTACTTTATTCGACGTAAAAAAAGCGAGCATTTCCACATCACTACAATTTTCCTTTTTACAGTATCTGTGGTATCACATGATGACTTCACGCACGTGCACTAATCACCTGTGCGTACAATCATAGCATGATTTCATTTCTTCTCGTAAATGTAAACATTAATATGCAATATTACTGAAGTAAAGACTTTTTGGAGGTTGACCAATGCGGGTTGACGTTTCTTTTTTACCACTCAGATGTTTTGTTATATAAAGTGCTAAGTATTATCCTTTCCAAGTCTGATAGATCGAAATCAATATCTTGATATAGTGTTAGCCAAATAATATTGGGGGATACACTGCCTCCACGACAAGATAACTTTTCAATCGATACATTATAATTTTTGAATATCTCTGTAGTTGAGCAACATGGAGCAAGTTTAGTGACTGAATGAGTGCCCACTCGCACATAATGTACACCAGTATCTAGTTTGTAAATGCCTTATTGACTTATCGGTGCATTTAAATCCCCCTTTTCCTTCTGGTGAGACGAAATACGCATCAAAGGAATGTTTTATAATGATACATGTATCTGCTGCTATCCAGTAAAATCTACACAACGTTTTTTATGATCAGTCCAATATATCCGAATGTGGATTCAATAGAGAAATCTCAATAAAATCTTTGTAAAAACTGAGCTCCTGAATGCGAATTACAACAACGTGTATTGACTTTCGAATTAGCAAGAGTAGTGACAACCGAAATGAAAATATAATTTCGATACTCGGTAAGAAGTAGAAGCAAATTATTTATTTATTATTTTGACGACGTAGAATATGATTTATTAATTGTTGTGAATGTTTTACATTAAGATTACATCACCTTGTTAAGAATACATTGCATAACATCTTTAATATACCTCCTACTTCCGTCGGTCACTTTATCCAATATTTTATTATGGTCTTGTAATATTCCATATTGGATAAAAAAATAAACAAAACAAATGTCAATTGTACGGAGTTCGGGAAGGGACATGTTGAAAAATAATTAAAACGAGATTTCGGTATTTTTACCATGTCTCTTTCCGGACAATTGCTATAAAATAAATGATTAATTTCACCGTAGTGCAATAATGAAAACTGATTTTATCCTTCTACGAGAACGGATTCCAAACATTTTACATTTTCGTCTTTCATACAGCAAAGGTTTTCATAATTAGTTGTTCCATCACACATACTTAAACAAAACGTCGTTTTAATAAACGTAGATTGGCTGCAATGGGTGTTGGTATAGGGGTACTAAGCTGTAATGTGCATAAATTACCTCCATTTCTGCAATGGTTTGTTGCACTCTCCTCTTTGATGTGAAGTATATCTGAGATAAAGCACACCCCGCTGTTTACACGGAGTGAGTAATATGAATAGCACGTAATTATTGCACGCGCAGGAAATTATTGCGGTTGAGTGTTATTATGAGATTGGCCAATGAGAGCTTTCGTTACAAAACATCCATGGAAGTAAAATATCAATATTTGAATAGGGTTCCGAGTATTTTACTTACATTGACCATCGAGTAAGGTTAACACAAGAATGAACTCAAGGAACAGAGATATCGTTAATGATGCGACCACCAGCAGTTTGATATCTTGTTTCTCACATCACGTGATAAACAGAGTAAATTCACTAAATTATGTAAACACCATGGTTTGAATGATAAAACGGTCAATTGGTAACAATATCAAAAGATTTAATATTATTGAATATACAGAAAGCTAATAAATATCAATAACGTTATATGTATCTTATTTCAAAAAATAACCTCACAGTATTTCGATATGTACATTTTTAAAATATGAAATTGAAAAACAAAACCAATTGGATATAAGAGAAATCCTAAAAATGTCGAGAATCCCAAGGTGTCTCTCAAAGAACACAACACTCACTGATGATATCATGGTAAAGAACTTATGGTAGACTCTCAATGTGAATTATTACAACAAAGTCGTATGTTAATGAGCAAATCAATACAAAAATATGATGAAAAAATAAAGCAAACAAATTTGAGGAATTTCAAAGACATCGTTAGTTTTACATTGACTTTAAAACGCATATGAATGTGACAGTACTAATTATTATTGCATAAACGTTTTGCTACGTAATACACATCAAAGTGATGTAGCCTAAAATAGTTTTTGAATTGTAGATTTTGATAAACAAATAAGTCATAGTAGTGACAATGGTAATGCTCTAGTATTATTTGTTGGTACCCTTTTCCTTAATCTTACAGAAAAATAACTTCACTGATGCTCTGTATACAGTAGCAAAATGATGGGTGTAGCTACCTTAACATAATATCGTTACCGACTTACAACTTTCTCAAACTTTGTACTAGGGAAATATTTCATAAGATCTGAAAGATGAACTTAATGTGTACCTATTCTAAAAGCATTTAAAAAAAAAAAAAAAAATCTTCGACTAGTATGAATCTTATCGACAACTTTCTCAAGCTTTATGTGTACAAGGGAAATATTCCATAAGATAAGAAAGATTAACTAAATGTTACCTTATTTCAATACAGTTTAAAAAAAATCTTTTTATCCTAGACTTGTATGAATTAAAACGCCTGCCATCTTTTGTAAGAGTATTGTTGTTATGACGTTAATATCAAAAGCTTCCACGAAGTTGCCCAACGTAACTGAATCATCAATACACCGAATAACCTTAGATCTGTATCAACTGTTTTCACTTGGAAACAACGATGTCTGGTTTTATTGTTACACTGCTGTTTACGATCTGAAGATGTTTACCGATTGACCTTGCGTTCATTTACCATGACAGTGCTGATCATGTGATGCTTACGTACTGTCTGGCCTGTATGACCTTTGACGTTTAACTTTCTTCTTAAGATTCGAGCTTCATTTAACAGATTGAACATCCTCAGTATGTATCAGATAGTTGGAATGATGGTCGCAAACAACTTGCTTATACAGTTAGGGTCATGGATACAGTAACAAACCAAATGAATAACTTACCGCTGTTGTCAATGATAGCAGTTGTCACAACCTGAAAGAGGCAGGGAAATGTTAAACAGAGTCAATTCAACAATAGTTTGTTGTACATGTGATTGTAAGTGTGTGTGTGGATGTGAATGTGTGTGTTAATGTGTGTGTTAATGTGTGGGGTGATGTGTGTGTGAATGTGTTTGTTAATGTGTGGGGTGATGTGTGTGTTAATGTGTGGGGTGATGTGTGTGTTAATGTGTGGGGTGATGTGTGTGTTAATGTGTGGGGTAATGTGTGGGGTAATGTTGAAGGTAAGGACGTAGTTTAAGATGGTTGAGTGTTCTTTTATTTGTTTTGTTTTGTTTGAGATTTCAACGAAAGTGGAATAAGTTTTTTACCAAGTACGGATTGTCTTTTTAACAATTAAAACAGTAACAACCTTATTGTATTACTCTAGCAATTAATCCCAAGATATCACATCAATCCAAGCTTTAAAAAATACAAAACTAGAAAAAAATAAGCGTCCTACAACGACGGTTACCAGGATTGATTATGAGTAAAGACAGTGAAACATTTTGGTAGTAACAAATAGTGAAATAAATTAAATAAATACTAAATCAGATTTAATGGTAATTATAGTGACAACTGGGCGAGATTACGAACATAAGATATGACTTCTAAAATCTGATGAATATTCAATAATAATAATTCTAATGAATATTAATTAATAGAAATTCTGATGAATATTCATTCATAGCCAGAAAGCAAGTCCCTGAAACAGGTGAAATAGACATTAAGTATATGTTTCTGTGTGTGCTATGGACGTGCCTATGTACGTTACATGACAAAACAAATGGAAAAAGTTTTCTTTGTGTGATTGTACGGCCTATATAGCGGGGCATGCAGTGCACATGGTAACTTTACACCTCTAAACATCTTGGCTGTGTACTCGTGGCTTCAGGGCGGTCGTAAATTACTACAAAACATGCCCAATGAAGAGATAACAGAAACTGCATGCATTGACAATTTTTCAAACTTCGACTAAGTTAAAACAAAACTACTGTGAGACAATAAACAATGGTTTAAATACTTAGAAAAACACGACTTAAGATTATGTATTGTGTGTTTTATGCAAGACAAAGGATCATGATAATTTTCAGTATATAATATGACCAAAAAATTAGTAGTATTAACAGTTCCCACATCGGACATCAGTAAACAAATTCAAAGTGACAGTTAATTTCCCAATCATGGAACTTGATGTTCATCACACAACGTCTTATAATGCTGATGGTCATGAAAAATCAAGTTACATTCTTATATAACTATGGACAAAAACATAACCCTAGGGACAAAGGCATGATATATATATAAGTAAATATCTTACCTGCAAACTGAGGCACAGCGCGATGACCAGTCGCATCACTTGGACACCGTTCGTTGAGAAGGATATGGTCTGCTTGGTTCGCGATATCATGACGATTTCGGCCCGAGATGATGTCTGACGAGGGCCAGATAATGATTGTACTTGGTACAGTAGAACCAAACACCTATATACCACGACAGGCTTCACTTCTGACCAAAAACCATGATGAAAACGTAAAACCTACCAAAGATAGGGGGTCTGCCTATTACTCGCCGAACTTCAGCTGCGATAACGTGCAAGTAATTACTTCGTCCCGGTTAAAACCCATCAAAACATGTCGATGGCTCATAACAATTACACAAACATTTCAATACTATCCAAATTGCAAATCTACATTTTATTGGCCTCTGACCTCATGTACTACAATTTGGCGTGACGTCATCATGATTCCACTGAGTGTTATCAGCAGCTCTGTAACATATATCGGCGAGTGCGCGGTTATATTTCACAGTGTATAGTTATACGTAGTAACAAGTTATAACGTTGATAGACAGCCGTGCATACAACGCGCTTTTATAAACCCTTAATGTCCCACTTAATACTGTGTAATTGTTCTCACGCAACTTGGGACCATATGTAGTGAAACGAATCGGGGACACCTTGATTCAATATGACATATGTGAAAACGAAACATGATACGTAAAATAGGTTGAAAATATATTTAAATAAAAGAAATGGAGTTCATTGGTGGTCGAAAACAAGATAACACTGATGTGTTAAGAGAACTATTATATGAACTCAAAAAAAAACAAGGCGCTAAACACCACATCATCGTACAGGGAGGAAACAGGGATATTACTATCAAGAAAGGGAAGAATCAAACTTATCACACTTACCTTCAAGGAACATGTGATTGTGTTTGTTTTCATTAAAAAGATATTATTTTTATTTTATGGCTCCTCAATTCTTGTTGTTCCTATTTCTCTGTGGGTCTTGTTGCTATAGCCGTTTTCTTGTTTGTTCTCCTCTTTGCTTATGTAAGATTGGCCATATAGCCAGAAACTTCAACAGTCATCTTCTCGAGACCCATATATGCTGGAAACTAATACTCTTCATAGGTGGAAGGGTCTTGAGGGCGCGCGAAAGCCTCGCTGGACACTATCATGACCCTCGAGCTTCAAGTTTGCCCCGGGGAAGGGGTGAAATTTACTATAGTTCATATAGTAAAATGCAACTTTTGGGTATATTTTGTTCATTTTCTACTGGAAATCATTCAAACTTGATTTACATTCCGTGCCGGATTCGAGTTCTGATTTAATCAGACGATGCTTTTTATTTTACAATAAAAACAGTACAATGCTATTATCCAAAGCCTTTGTAATAATGTGCTTTATATTGTTTACAAGCATGTGTCTAATTCTGTTTCACAGTGTGTAAGTCAGGCATTGTATTCACCAAACCTTAATATCCCATTTACGTCTGGCTCTACATTGAACATTTTCTATGGCGTTTTGCGTTAATTTTTGTTACTTTTTTTACACGGCTGATTAAGGCCATGTTTGAATTCAATAAAATGACTTAATACATTACTTTAGAACACCTAATCTTCATTTGTTGTAACTTTAATTTTGATTTTTTTTCTGTGAGTTGATAGTATCAGTTTAAAATAAAATTATAAATAACATTCTATTTGCAAGCCCCTGCGGTTAAATTATGAACACATTGCAATAATTGTATATCTATGTACTGTAAAGCGCTTTAGAGTGGCTTATGTTAGCTAGATAGGGCGCTATATAAAATGTTGTATATTTATTTATTTATTTATTTATGACTGAAGTTTGAATTTCGTAAGGAAGTTTATATATCAGTATGGTCCAGCTGGACACGTAATAACTGCTGATCTAAATATTGTCCATCATGTAAAGTTACTAGAGCTTGTCATGACGATTCTTTAGTATCAATATTCTCGACTGTGAATTTCAAGATACTTATGGATTCTGAGAAAGGCTACGCTAGATAACTCTTAAAACGATAGCACACTGCACTGGATTCACATTTGGAGTTGATCAAACCTAGCAGGTCCATCATTAAAAACGAATCAGACGCTTGAAATCAAAAATTGAAAACAAAACATAAGGACAAGGATGAAAACTGTGAGAATGAATTTTTAGGTTTACCATATCTTTGTTGATATTTCCCAGCAGACCGTAGACATTCTTATGGGAACAAAAACTATGCCCTTTATTTCATTTCAGACTAGTTTATTGTATGGATCATAGCTCCAAAAGGAACTGGGCAACAGGCAAAGCCTATAAAAGTCCTCTCCTAGTGTCGATTTGGTTTTATTTTCATATGGGGCTGAATTTATTGATGTGTGTATCAGGACTGTTGACAAAATCTTCGTCAAGTCCTTCAATTTCACATTCAGACATATAACGAAGATACTATGTCTTTTAACAAGAAATAAAAAGACAACATTGATCGCATAAAAAAACTTCTGAGCTTGGAATCAAGAATCATACCGTTTTTGTACTTATCTTACAACAAAACCACTAAGGATGGCCTACTAGTAAACTGTGTGATAAGCAGGCAGATTTCGATTTTCCTATGGTGAACTGTCCTTTTCTTGATAGAAACCCCCATTTCTTCCTCTATAATAGATTTTTTTACATGTTGCAGTTGATTCGAATATCATTATTTCTATGATAAATATCGACTACTGATGTACAGAAATACTGCTCAGGGTTTCCAAAAATGCAGATTGATGAAGATTAGTTTTAAGGTCGATACCATGATCTCATTTGGAAATATGTTATCTCCCTATGTCATATAAAGGTCGATGTTTGTTTATATTGCGCGCATCAGTGCATTGTTGTCTTGTTGTCACTACCCCTGTTCTCAGTGTGAGGACGTGACATTAATTTGATATGACGTGATTTACATGGCAGGTGTTGTCAATGAAGCAGCATACGCTTACCCTTCCGGATTCCCTGGTCTTATTCTCCTTGTTCCTTATATGCAGATCTTCATCTGTTTATATTGTGCCCCAGTTTTATCGATTTTGAGTTCGAGTTTTGGTTTTGTGTACCGTTTAGTAGTTTCTTGTTGTTTTTGTTGCTAGAGATTATTTCAACCTTCGTTGTTACCCTAAAGTCTTAGAATATATGAGTGTACACATTACGAATTATACACAATATCATGTTAAGTACAATAGCATGGGACGCTCTGAACGTGTACACAAAAATACATTGTAAAGACGAACGAGACAACCGCTGAATATATTTTGTTGTTATTGTTTTCTTTTATTGAAAGAGGAAATAACCCCTAGTTGTGTTAATGGCGCATGCAATAGTCTACACGTGTTGGCAAGGTCCGTAGAGTAACATTCCAGCTAATATTCTGTAATCCTCTTTTTTTCCCCGACTGTTCTGATTAGCTCCGTGACGTCAACCTGGCATCCTGACAGTTTACACACACCTCCACCAGAATGTGTTGTAGAAGCTATATCTCGCGAGAGCTGGAACCCGCCCAAAGCCCCGCCTCCGTTTCTCACTTAACCTCTTTAAACAAAGAGGTTCTATGGTCGTTAAAATTGTCTGCGCGATTTCTTCACCCGTTCGCACGCTCCGACCTTCAAAATGATCATATAATTTACATATGCTGGTTCACTGGCAGGGATCCGCGTGGCAAACATCTGACATACCTTGATGAGGTGCGTTTGATGCAATATCGATTCAAAACCGGAATCAATCTGTTAATTACGATGACAAAGTATCGTCACTGCCATATATAAGGAAGAGCCAACAGCATGACCAGGTGTGTGTTAATTAATTAGCCGCACACGGAAAGATCGTGATAGTGGCGGGGTTCATCAACAGCTTGTGTGACTGAGACAACTTTACAGGTCCCGCTCAGACTATCAGTGCATGGCAGTGCAAAACCGTTACCGCCGTCTCTGTGATTATACTGGTGTTAGCCATCAATGTCTTTTGGTCTTTGTTCGTAATGTCTGTTTCCTGGTCGTTGTCCGTTATGTCTGTCACCTGGTCTTTGTCCGTAATGTCTGTCTCCTGGTCTTTGTCCGTAATGTCTGTCTCCTGGTCTTTTTCTGTTACGTCTGTCGTATGTTCTATTGCTGTAATGTCTGTCTTCTGGGTATTGTCTAATATGCTTGTTTTCTGGTGTTTGTCCGTAATGTCTGTCTTCTGGTCTTTGTCCGTAATGTCTGTCTTCTGGTCTTTGTCCGTAATGTCTGTCTTCTGGTTTTAGTCAGTAATGTCTGTCTCCTGGTCTTTGCTATAATGTCTGTCTTCTGGTCTCTGTCCATAATGTCTGTCTTTTGTTCTTTGTCCGTAAAGTCTGTCTTCTGGTCTTTGTCCGTAATGTCTGTCTTTTGGTCTTTGTCCGTAATGTCTGTCTTTTGTTCTTTGACCGTAAAGTCTGTCTTCTGGTCTTTTTCTGTTACGTCTGTCGTATGTTCTATTGCTGTAATGTCTGTCTTCTGGGTATTGTCTATGCTTGTTTTCTGGTGTTTGTCCGTAATGTCTGTCCTTGGTCTTTGTTCGTAATGTCTGTCTTCTGGTCTTTGTCCGTAATGTCTGTCTTCTGGTCTTTGTCCGTAATGTCTGTCTTCTGGTCTCTGTCCATAATGTCTGTCTTCTGGTCTTTGCTAATAATGTCTGGTCTCCGGTCATTGTCCGTAATGTCTGTCTTCTGGTCTTTGTCCGTAATGTCTGTCTTCTGGTCTTTGTCCATAAAGTCTGTGTTTTGGTCTTTTTCTGTTACGTCTGTCGTATGTTCTTTTGCTGTAAAGTCTGTCTTCTGGGTTTTGTCCAATATGCTTGTTTTCTGGTGTTTATCCGTAACGTCTGTCTTTTTGTCTCTGTTTGCAATGTTTGTCGGCTGGTTTTGTTTTACTTCGTGTTTGTCTGCTGATAGGTATCTTGTTCATAGTTGTTCGCTAGTCTTTATCTACATGTATACCGTCTTCGTGCTGGTTTTTGTTTTCAATGTCTGCCTGTTGGTTTTGTCCAAAACGTCATCTGCTGGTCTTTGTCTTTCACCTTTCTTTGCAGGCATTTGCTCACCAGCTCTGTTTTTTGCTCTACGATCTCGATGACTGTATACTATTTTCTCTCTGTAATGTTTGTATGATAGTCTTCGTCCAAGGTGTCTGTGGTTTTCTTCTTGTTTCTTGTTTGGTTGACAAGGTTTGTTTGATTCACAAGGTTTGTTTGATTCACAAAATTTGTTTGATTCACAAGGTTTGTTTGATTCACACATTATTTGTCCGATTCAAAATGTTTGTTTTGCTCGCAACGTTTTTTTTGGTTCACAGTGTTCGTCTTTCAACAATGTGTTGGTCTGCTGGTCTTTATCTACAAAAATATGCTTGCCTTTACTCACAGAGCTAGCATTGTTTATTGTTTTAAGAAAAAGAAACCATAACTTAACATAATAAAGATGAAATTA